TTTTGCTCGTATGCATCCTCCATCAATAGTTACACACCAGCCAAGATTGTCTGGGACAGAGTGGGGAGAATGAAGGGCGACTACCGTTCTTTCTCAATCCCCTTGCTTTTAGCTGAGAATGGAGAAGCTTATTCATCGTTATATGAACAAGCCAATGCACTGGGTAACCACTTTGCACAAGTCTCCAGTTCCGAAAATTACACTGCAGAGTTTCTACGGTTTAAGTCGAAATGTGAGAGAACTCCAATTCGTATGTCAAATGATTGTACTGAAGAATATAACCGTCCCTTTTCTCTTGTCGAGCTTCGTCGAGCCCTTGCTGCTGCAAAACCCACATCCCCTGGACCTGATTCAATTCACCCCACTATGCTTTCCCACCTACCTGATACATTTCTTGTCACTCTTCTTCAGTTTTTTAACATAATCTGGGCGAAAGGGAAATTTCCCAGCTCCTGGAAACAGGCTGTGGTCGTTCCCATTTTAAAACAAGGAAAGGACAGAAGCAAAGCCACGAGCTACAGGCCAATTGCCCTCACTAGCTGTCTGGGAAAGACCTTCGAACGGCTGGTCAACAGTAGACTCGTCTACGTGCTAGAACGTAAGAAACTTCTAAGTAATTTCCAATGTGGTTTCCGCACTTCCATGTCTACTGTTGACCATCTGGTGCGCCTCGAAACGACCGTCCGGGAGGCTTTTGTAAATAGGCAGTTTTGTCTTTCGGTGTTTTTTGACCTTGAAAAGGCCTACGACACCGCCTGGCGCTACGGCATACTTCAGGACCTCATCTCGATGGGCATAAAAGGGAGAATGTTTAACTGCATTTCCGACTTTCTGCAGGATCGTGGCTTTCAGGTACGCCTGGGGGCTACGGTCTCTGACCCTTTCCCCCAGGAGAATGGCGTACCGCAGGGCTGTGTCTTGAGCGTCACTTTGTTTATTATAAAAATGAATTCTCTGTCTCAGGTGATTCCGCCCATGGTCTCCCATTCTCTTTACGTTGATGATGTCCAAGTTTGCTTTTCTTCGTGTAATTTAGCTATCTGTGAACGCCAAGTTCAACTGACGGTGAACAAGATGAGTAGGTGGGCTGATCGGAACGGTTTTCGGTTTTCCGCCGAGAAAACCGTGGCAGTCTGTTTTTCTCGAAGGCGGGGAGTATTTTCTGTTCCATCGCTGTCCATCAAAGGTGCGCCTATTCCTGTTAGGTCAGAACATAAGTTCCTCGGTGTAGTATTTGACAGCAAGCTAACATTTGGCTCACATGTGAAGGCTTTAAGAATTAAATGTCAGCGGAAATTAAACATTCTTAAAGTCCTGGCACACCGTTCTTGGGGTTCAGACCGTCTCTGCCTTTTACGACTTTATAGGGCATGTGTTCGTTCTGTGCTGGATTATGGCAGCATTGTCTACGGTTCTGCTAAGCCCTCTACGCTTAAGATGTTGGACCCGGTTCACAATCAGGGTATTCGACTAGCAATCGGGGCCTTTCGAACATCGCCAGTGCTTAGCTTGTATGCTGAGTCAAATGAGTGGTCGCTTGATAAACGGAGGTTTTACCTTAGCGCACAGTACTATCTAAGACTGCGGACTCTCCCTCAACATCCAAATTTTTCTTTGACTAACAACGTAAATTATGAACAGACCTTTCAAAACAAGCCGTCTGTAACACGTCCCTTTGCGCTCCGCGTGAGGGATGCCGCAGAGAAGTACAGCTTTAATATATCTCCTCCTGTTATGGAAACTCCACAGAGATTTGCTCCTTGGGATGATATAGCCGTAACATGCAACCTCTCATTAACAAAGTACAACAAGAGAGTTGTCGACTCCAGTGTTATAAAACAGGAATTCTTCGAGATAGCAAGCCGTTACGAGACCGGCAAGAGTTTCTTCACCGATGGGACGAAGGGCATTGATTATGTTGGATGTGCTGTGGTGGGGCAGTCCTTCCAGCGTGTTAGACGAATTAACCCCGAGGCATCTGTTTTCACTGCTGAGCTTCTAGGGCTGATATTAGCTGTCGAACAAATAATTAAACAAAATTTTAGGAAATCCATAGTATTTTCAGACTCGCTTAGTTGCCTCCTTGCACTTGACTCAGCAACATCCTGGAACCACCCCCTCATTTGTCTACTCCGTGGTAAAATAATAAAGGCCCGCAAGCAAAATATTGATATTCAGTTCTGCTGGGTACCCAGTCATATAGGAATACACGGCAATGAGGAGGCTGACCGAGCTGCAAGTACATGTATAAACAGGTCCATTGAAACCCACGCCATTCCAGCGACTGACTATAGAACTACTCTGCGAAAGAAAATAAAACGTTCCTGGCAAGTGGAGTGGAGCTCTGACTGTTGCAATAAGCTCCATATTATTAAGCCTACTTTGAGTGAATGGCGCAGTGCCAGACATCAAGAAAGGTTTTACGAAGTTATTCTGTGCCGGCTGCGAATAGGACACACACGCCTAACTCACGGGTACCTCTTAAAAAGCGAAGACCCTCCAGTGTGCGATTACTGCTTTGAAACTTTAAGTATACTCCACATCCTTCTAGTATGTCCGCAATTTCATAACGAACGCTGCACCTACTTCCCAATCTTTTTTAGAGAGCATATTCCGTTTCACCTGGCACTTTTGCTCGGAGACGAGCCTCTTGTCCCACATACACAAGTGTTCAACTTCTTAAAGAATATTGGTATTTTAAATCGCCTTTAGCTGATTTTAGTAAAGTGAAATTTAGCAATGTATAATTTAGCCGCCGAGTCTTGTGATATTTACTCACCATGTGTTTGGCGCACTATGGCCCGAGTTGCTGCTGCGCCAAAAAAACCCCAAATTCATTCATTCACTTCCAAATTGCTTGCAGGGAAGCACACTTACAGTACAGAAAGATGAGTGTTCACCACACGGCCTTATGGACAACATTGACTATAGCAACAGATTATGTTGTTACAAGAAAGTTTTGTTTATTAGAAACCTAATGCAGGCCCCTGCGCCTAATGCAGGCCCCTGCGCCTAATGCAGGCCCCTGCGCCTAAGCCCTTCTTTGTATCTTGAATTTTTCGGAAAGGATAATGCCCATGTTGTGGACGGTGTCCGTGACGTCAGCATTGTTTATCTTCCCCCAACATGCCACTGTTTTTGCAAAGTAGCATGAAAAAAAATTCAATGTTAGGTTGGACCAGTGAAAGCAACCTAATTACGTGCTTACTGAACACAAGGGTGACCTTTTCAGGTGTGAGCTCCTTGAATTTTTTCGGTCCTTCGGAGCCTTTCTCCCCCTCCAAAGGTCCTGTCAACCGGCTTCTCGGCTTCCCAAAAAGCATGTTTTTAGTAGCTTTTGCTCCCTTGAGTTGTTGGAAATTCCTTTCCACTGCTCGGCGGAGATGGTGGTGCCTCCTTTCAGGTGGAACTGAAAAATTAGTCAAATGTGTGGGTAAACATTTAGAAGAGGACCAGAAAGCCACCTTCATACTTATCCTGCCATTTTACAACATCGAGAATGGTGTTGCACTCTTCTGACCTCTGTAGTCAGCAACTGCACAGAGAAACATTTACATAATTATTTTTACCTCGTGATGATTTTCAGCAGTACAAAACAATTTAAAGGTGTCCACCCTGTAAATGACATTGATGGTTAACCCAGAACTGAGGAAAAGTAATAATGAACAAAACAAGGTATCATTGGATGTTAGGTGATCCATCTGAATCAGCTAATACATATATTCAGGTACGAATTAGAACCAAAACAGAAAATACAAGTGCAGCGATTCGGCCTAGCAACCACTCTACAAAAAAAAAAAGAAGTTTAACTGGAGAGGTAGCACAACTATTATATTGAGAGCACTACAAAAAAAAAATTTGAAGTTTTTTTTTTTCAGTTTCATTACGTCACTCATTTATAATGTTGACGTCACGGAGCATTACCCTCAGTTGGTGGGTGCCACCTTTGGCTTTCCACTGGCAGAAGCTGCCTTGGCCTTGGGAGTGGGAGCGGGTGCCTCAGTGGGAGCGGGTGCTTCAGCAGCACCTGATAAATAAGTGAGGTTTCCTTAGCCATGGCAAGAAACAAAGCTACAAGAGTGGCCTCAAATCAATCATGATGAACCAAACAAGGTAGACATTAGACGCGGCATCCGTCGACGCAATCATCGGGGCTACTGCTAGAGGGAGATGTGAAGTGGTTTGTTATTAAATCTGCTTTACCTCCACAAAGTAGCAATTTTGTTTTTCTGACAGTCCATAAAGAAAAAAAATTCCTAATGATGTTAGTAAAGCAAGCAATGAACGTTACCAAAAGTTGGTGCTTCCTAGGCACTTTCCTCTGCCTCAAAGCTGCAGGAAGCTGCAGTGTGATCTGAAGTGTATAGGGAATATTAACATGACGTCACGTGCCCCCATCGCTGTGGTCATCTCGCATTATCTAGCACCAGCAAAGCTGAGGAGCTTATGCAAAGATAAGCTGATTTACCGAAACGTGCACAGCGATTGCTGCCAGTGAATACCCTTATAGCCTTATTGTAAATGATCGTAGAACCAGGGACGGCGCCAGGCTTTCCAGATTGGGGGGGCAGTGGGGAGGCGTATTACATTCTCTGGGGGGGGGGGGGGTTCATGAGAAACCGGGAGGTTGGTTCTGACAGCTAAAATAAGTGTTGGCGGCCAATAAACCTGGAAGTGAGCTGGGGGTTGTTAATGTCGTGCAGCTACCCGAGAATTGTGTAAACAAAAAGGCAAATCGCTTTGCCACCGTCTCCTTTCATGACATGTTTAAAAGGCGGATTAAAGAAAGTAATGGTCGATGGCTGCGTAGAATAGTCACTGCCGACGACGTAAAACTGGAAGAACCAAGCACTTCGAAATATTTCGTAACATTTTTATCACCTCAGTTTATTTTTTTGGTTGACAGTGTACTTACAACCTGAATTACATTGCACATGTTCGTTATTTACAAATATCTACATTCTGAAATTTCACATTCGTTCGCACTCGTCCCCAAAAGTTCAGTGAAGTCGAATCCGTCTGTTGTGATGGGCAGCATCGAAGGCGTTGACAACGTCATCTAGTTCCAGGCTTTTCGCGGTGGTCTTCTCCACGGCGAGAACCGCCAAGTTCGCGAGCCTCTTGTCAGACATTCTGTTTCGGAGATACGTCTTCAGCCGACGAAGGCACGAGAACGTGCGTTCGCAGGCGGTGCTGGAGGCAGGGATAGTCAACGCTATAACACAAAGACGGTACGATTCCTGAAAGCAAATTTTAAATTTGCCTAAAAATTCGGCAAACAATATTGTGGTGGTGACAATGCACCCATTCTCTTTTTCGTATCTCTGTAAAACTCTGGGAAGCAGTTTCATCCCGGCCACAAGTGCATCCCAGTCGGACGAGTAGTGGTTTGCTAGCGGTTCGACCAGCGAGATGTCCATGAAGCGATCGTGTTGAGGTTGAAAACAGTTCAAGCCCTTCAGGATGAGATCACTGTCGCTAAATCTTCGCATCCAGGATGGGAAGGAACACGTGCACACGGCAGTCGTTTCCAGTGGAGCAGCTGGGGTCCTCTCCAGGCAGCTGGGCTTCTGTGAGATATTTTGCAAGGTGCGCCGGCAGACGGTTGATTCTTCGCTCTTCTACAAGACGAATTCCGTTTGTCTCTGCAACGCTTAAGCACTGGCTCCAAATGCTTGAGAAACCCTCTGACGTCCTTAGATATCTAAATCGCTCAAGTACCGCACTGACCATCATGAAGGCATGAGTAAGGTCGCAATTCTTGTTCTGCAGGTAATCTGAAAGAATCTGCAGCTCACCCAAAACCTCGCCAAAGATACCCAGATGTGAAACAAACGTGAAGTTCAGCTGGTGCAAAATTCCGCGTGCTTCTGCTGATCTTGATCTTCCGCCTTCGGCGATCTTTGTGAGTGAGACAATCATTGCAGGAAGCGCGTGTAGGACGGCTTTGCATGCGTTAATTTGGCATGTCCATCTAATCTCGCTGATTCCTTTCAGTTCGATCGTTGTGCCGCACACCTGCTTTTGAACTGTGATGAACAGCGCATGTGTGGCAGACCCTCCCAAGAAGACATACAACATCTCTATTAAAGAGAAAAAGGTCCTCGCGGAATCAAAGCTCTTGCAGGCATCGACAATAACCAAATTCAGCCGGTGGTTGAAGCAGTGGACATACAGGGCTTGAGGTACTTCTAACTTGAGAAGGGCTTGAACACCTTTGCTCTTGCCACTCATTACGCTTGCACCGTCATAGGTTTGTGCGATGCAGTTCTCAAGGTGAATTCCACATCTGGAAAGCGTTTCCTTAACGTAGCTCAGGAGAGAGGCAGCGTCTAGCGTTTTGTCACTCCTAAACCCAAGAAATCTTTCCTAGGCGGATCCGTTCAGGAAATACCGGACTACCACAGAGAGCTGTTCCGTTTTGCTGATATCTCTAGATTCGTCCACTATAAGCGCAAAGCACTGAGCGCTGTCCACCTCGGTCTTGAAACGACGCAAAACTATATCTGACATTGCTGAGAGTATCTCATCCTGAATGGAATGGTGAGTATATTTGGCGTTGGCAGGGCCATTTTCCAGCTTTTTTAGTAGAATGGCATCGCTTTTCGCTACAAGCTGAAGGAGCTCGAGAAAGTTTCCTTTGTTTTCACTTGAGGCTGACTCATCGTCCGCTCTCTGGGCAATCCCCTGTGTTGCAGAAAACCTCAGCACGTCAGCTATTACAGAGATATAGTGGCGGTTTTCTCTTACCTCTTTCAAATACGCCTCGCTGAGGTGCACGGCGACTGAATTTTCGGCGCCCTTTTCCTTCATCTGCTTGAAGAATTCCCATGAGGCCTGGCACAACTTGTGCGCCGCACTGTTCGAATGGAGTCGCAGTTTGCCGTCCTTTTGAAGCGCTTTCTTCCAGTTCCGATAGCCCTCGGTCACAAACACAGCACTTCCACTCCTCTGTCCATTGCTAGTTGAAAACATCTGACAGGCGAAACAGAATGCCGAGTTCGAAGTCACGCTGTATTCCAACCATGGGAAGCTGGTGTACCATTCGGACTTGAAGGTCCTGCCGTCGTTCCCGTATTTAGTAACAATAAAGGATATTAGCACAGGTTGTACCGGCAAATCATGGGCTGTCCTGGCTACATCAGGAGGTATTTCGACCTTTAGTATATCAGGAGCTCTCGTTCGGAGTTCTTCGATCTGGAACTCGTCATCCGGGCCATCCCCATCGCTGTCACCAAAAGTTGACTCGCATTCTTGTTCCCCGGCGCTTGCGTTGAGCACACACTCTTCATCAAGTGAAAGCTTTTCTTTGGCGGGTTCAGGTTCGGTGACATTCTCTTGAACTTTTCGCTTGGTCCCCTTTCGTTGGAAAAAGTCACTTATCGGACGACTGGATGCCATGGCGGCCACAATGCTTCCAGCTTCAGCGTCCTTTTTCTTCCCTCGTGGGTAAGGAAGAAAGGGAGAAAGCGAAGGTTTCTTTCTCGCCACGGCGATGTCACCAGCAGTGTCGCTCTCGTGGAAAGGGTGGGCTCCCCGACTCAGCCAGCTCAGCGTTCAGCCAAGGTCCTTGGCCGCCAAGCAGCTAATCCCCCGGGCACTGCGCTTGCCAGTCAGCTGTCTCTGGCAACGGCCAGAGGCGGCTCACCCGTGATCAACCGGTCGCGGCCTTGCTGTTTTGAGGGAACCGGGATAGCATTGAAGGTCAGCTTATCCCGCTGGCGATGCGGAGGAACCCGTGGGAATGTGGGACAGGGTGTTATCTCAGGGACTCGTGGGCGCCGTTATTAGGAGGTCGGGCCGCGTTACGTGTGGAAACCGCGAGGGGCGAACGGCTGAGCTCCTTCCCCTCGGCTTCGATGAGAGGCAAGAAAGCTTTCATTTTTCGTGGGCCACGGAAAGGTAATAAAGCAGGTCGGTCACACAAAGAAGTGTTTGTTCCGCGGCTGCTGCCTCTTGTGCCTCGCCTGCTTTCTCAGAATAAAAAGTTATCCTCCTGCCCACTACAAAAAAAAACAACAAGATTTTGGGATTTTGGCACGTAGGCGTCGAAATCTTTTGGGCAGAAATTAGAAAAATGAAGGGCGGCTGGTTACTGCGGGGGGGGGGGGGGGGGGGGGAGGATTATTTTATTTTGGGGTGGCAAGACAAAGTGGAGGGGAGGCGGTCGCCACCCCTTGCCTCCCTTTGGCGCCGTCCCTGCGTAGAACTAGATCAAAGGAACAACATAATAAGAGATAGAGAGTTCCAATCTCATGAGACATACACAGCAGAACCAGTGACAAAGTATGCAGAAAGAACGTTAAAAGTCAGCCATAACCAAGAGAAGATAGTGGGTCCCGAAATGCCTAAGAAATTTTTATGAATACCAGGTGACTGCCCGTCCAGTCATCCTTATTTAAACTATGCTGGGAGGGGTGAAAAAAGTTGATAGAGTCTAGGAAATTAATTATTTGAGTGTGGATGACGTGTTCCATGGCTTTGCAAGGGACTCTTGTTAAAGAGATGGGAAGGTAATTTAGTGGGGAGTCCTTGTTACCCGATTTGTAGACTGGAACGACCCTTCCCACCTTCCAGTCGTCCGGTAGATGCCTGTAGAAAGTGATTGTGAGAACAACATGGTCATGTACACAGCAGATATACGCTTGGTATTTTTTTAAAGTTTTGAGTTAATTCCGTCAGCGCCGGCTGACGATGAGAGTGATATTTTCAAATAATGATGAGATGCCATCTACAGAAAATGTGAGAGCTGGCGTAGTAGATACTGTGTTAGAAGATATTAAAGAGGGAGAGACATCGGTTTCTCCTGTAAACACGGAAAAGAAGCCCAAATGAAAAGCACTGGCGCACTCAGTGTCAGTGACTATTTCTCCCGCTCCGTTCGTCAGGCTAATGATGCGCGTCTCTTGGGGATTTATAACTTTCGAAATTTTTTTAGGATTGTTTATTAAGATCTTTGGTAAGTCATAAAAAAAGAAATGCTTTGTGTTACGTATAGATACCAGATAGGCGTCTTCAGTTGCGTAGTATTTTTCCCATGCGCAGGGGTTTCCATTCCGCTTTGCCGAGCGGAAAACTTTTTTTTTTGTTTCCTAGTTTTTTAAAGACTTTGTAAACCAGGGTTTCTGTCGGTTCTCACGGAACGTAATTATTGGGATGACTTTATTTGCAAGTTCATTTAATTTATTCCTGAACATTATCCAGTTTCTATTAATAGAACGATTGAGAAATGATGCTTCGAAAATTGGAAGGAAGGCATTTAGCTCCCTGTTTATTACTTCATAATTAATTTCCCTTATCGTAAAGACGAATTCTTTTATCGCGTGCTTGGCGTCGTACCGGGCAAAAGTTGAAGGTAGCATGAATTACTTTGTGGTCGCTGATTTCGCAGAAATAAGTAACCAGGCTGTCGGGATGACTGGTTAGTGTTAAATCTAAGATGTTTGCAGAATCCCGTAAAACACGTGTGGGTTAAAATACTTGTTGAACACGGTTAAAATCAAGGCATACGTTAAAAAAATCTTGCGGCTTCGTTGCCTATAGCTGAGGGGACCTGGTTGCTCCGGTCTATTTGTGGGTAATTAAAGTCTTCAAAGGGAAGGATATGTGCATTCGGGTACGTTGAGGCAAATTCACTAAGGATGTTATTAAGTTTACAAGAAAAGTCAGAAGAATTATGGGGGAGGCCTGTAGCAGGACTCCCAAAAGAACCGTCTGAGGTGAAGCGCGACATATGAGCCATAGTATTTCAAGGTCGGAGGTAATGTTAGCAATAGAACATGACAACTGCTGGTGTGCGGCGATGAGAACACCTCCTCCTCGTCTGGCTTGGCGGTCATTTCTATAAAGGCGGAAGTCCGGCAAATCGACAAGAACTTCAGCATCAGTGATTTCTTTAGACAGCCAGGTTTCGGTTAATATCAACATATTACTACCGGAGGACAACACAAGATTAGACACAATTTCTCGTTTCGGAAGAAAACTACGCGTGTTGGTGAGGATTACTGAACTTGAAAGATTAGTTTTGGTAGAAATCAGAGAGGGGGCTGTTATTTCTTTCTGATGGGGCATTTGCTATGCTGTTTCCGTCACAGTCTGTGATGGTTCATAAAAAACTTAACGTCTCGGGCCCATGAGAAGTGTTTTAAACCGTAAAGAAAATGGAATGGCATATTTTTGCTTTTTGCAAGCACAAGTAGGTGTTTGCGAGCATTTTCGACGGGCCGAGAAAAGTCTTCGCCAGCACTGAAACTTGTTCCTTTGAACTTGCGGCCGTTAGATAGTATAGTTCATTTTGTCTTATGGAACGTGAACTTAACGATTACTGGGCGAGGGTGGTCAGATGTACGATGTCCAAGATGATGTGCATGCTCTATTTCTTTTGGGTCTATGGTTATGTTCAAGTGATCACGACAGTGCCGGATGACGAGTTGTTCAGATTGAGCAAACGTTTCTGATCCATTGGAGTTAGGTATGCCATAGAAAATGAAGTTGCGTCGAGAATGATTTTCGGCATCGTCCAGTCGCGCCTCCAGGCCACAGACCAAACGGGCCGTCTGAGCTGTCTTGATTTTTACATTTTCTAACTCTGTGCGCACGGGGGCGATATATTGATAATGGTTTTCGAGCTGAAATCTGATATGGCTTTGTCTGTTGTTAAAAGGTGGGTTTTAAGGTCTTGTACCTCCGCAAGTAATTTCGATTGACCGGTGGATAGTTTTTTTAGCTCGGCTAGTATGGCTTTAGTATCAGGACCAGGATTTGTTTCAATGTCACCCGATTGCAACAGCAAGGAACGGATGGTATGGAAGCACTCTATCGAAATAACAACGCAACACTGCGGGCTCACCAGCTGTATCAAAAAGTAATTACTTGTTTTTTTTAGAGAAAAGACTGCACGGTTTACTAACCTGCACGAAAAAGTTGAACGGATTAGTGGTTTGCGTTGTGGCACAGCCACCGAGCCCACAGAGCGATATCGGCTGCGTCGGCTGGTTTATAGTGGCTGATGTTGCCACGTGTGCATTGAGTGTGCCACGACTCCAACAGGAGGCGTCTCTGCCAGTTTTTCTCCGTTCCGAGGATGGAGCTGTTGTCAAGGTCGATGGAGTGGTTCATCTTCTCGACGTGTTCGGCCAGCGCGCTTCCCTCCACATTTTTCTTCGCGATGTCGTAGCGGTGGCGCCGCAGGCGCTCTGGATAGTTTTTCATTTCCCCAACGTACGACGCGGGGCAGTCACCGCAAGGAATTTTATAAACCAGTCCCTGTGCCCTCTCCCTCGGTGGGCGATCCTTTGGCAGGGGGAGAAGGCCGCCGATGGTCGAGACTGGCCTGTGTGATACCGCTATGCCGTACTGTCGCAGTACTTGGGCGAGAACCTCGCTTGTGCCCTTGATGTAGGGTACACACACGCGGGTGGAGGGAGGGGGGGCGTCTTGGGTTGAAGGGGTGCGTCGAATTTTTTTGATCGTGCTTTTTACAAAACCAGCTGGGTAGCCATTCTTCCGCAGGTCTTGTTTGATCGTTTCGATCTCTTTTCGAAGGGTCTCCTCTGATGTGCAGATTGTGATCGCCCGTCTGACGAGTGCCGAAGCCACGGAAGACTTATGTGCCCTAGGGTGGCTTGAGGAAAAGTCCAGGTATCGGCCTGTGTGTGTCGGCTTCCTATACACATGGAAGTCCAGGCGGCCGGACTTTCTCACTGCACAGACGTCTAGGAAGGGGAGACAGCCATCTGATTCGTGCTCAATCGTGAATTGAATCGCTGGCTCGATGGAGTTGAGATGTGTGTGGAGACGGTCGATCTCACTGGTCTTTACAACACAAAAGCAGTCATCGACATACCGCAGGAAACACACGGGTCCTGGGGAGAAAGTGTCCAGGGCTTTTCTCTCGATCGCCTCCATTACGAGGTTTGCCACAGTGACGGAGACCGCAGCACCCATAGCCGTACCACTGGTTTGTCTGTAGAAGCGGCCAGCAAAAGAAAAATGAGTGCTGGATAGGCAGAATTCCAGTAGACGGCAAATTTCGTCCACCTCAAGGCACATTCTTTCGGAGAGTCTCGTGTCAGACGAGAGGGCCTCCCGCGTCACAGACACTGCGAGAGGCACAGGCACACTTGTGAAAAGCGACACGACGTCGAAGGAGACAAGGCTCTCGTCGTCCCGCAGTTCGAGGCCCGATGTGAGCTCGATGAAGTGTCCAGAATTTTGGACATACGTGTCGGTCTTCCCGGTTAAAGGCGACCAAGGCAAAGTGCCAAGCCCACGGGAAAGTAATTTCAGGATCAAAAACTTCCAACTCCAAGTTTAATCTAATTTGGTCTCAAATAAAGTTGGAAAATGTATTGCAGTATCAGTATTTCTGTATTTGTATTTCTGCCCTCCCTAAAATGTAC